TTTTTTCTGTACAGTATCATGTCATCTGCAAATAGTGACAGTTTGACTTCTTTACCAATCTGGATTCCTTGTACTTCTTTGTTTTGTCTAATTGCTGTGGCTAGGACCTCCAGTACTATGTTGAGTAACAGTGGGGAGAGTGGGCATCCCTGTCTTGTTCCTGATCTTAGAGGAAAAGCTTTCAGCTTCTCGCTGTTAAGTGTGATGTTGGCTGTGGGTTTATCATGTATGGCCTTTATTATGTTGAGGTACTTGCCCTCTATGCCCATTTTGTTGAGAGTTTTTATCATGAATGGATGTTGGATTTTGTTGAATGCTTTTTCAACGTCTATGGAGATGATCATGTTGTTTTTGTCCTTCTTATTGTTGATGTGGTGGATGATGTTGATGGATTTTCAAATGTTGTGTCATCCTTGCATCCCTGAGATGAATCCCACTTGGTCATGGTGTATGATCCTCTATGTATTTTTGAATTCGGTTTGCTAATATTTTGTTGAGTATTTTTGCATCTATGTTCATCAGGGATATTGGTCTGTAATTTTCTTTTTTGGTGAGGTCTTTGCCAGTTTTTGGTATTAGAGTGATGCTGGCTTCATTGAATGAGTTTGGCAGTATTCCCTCCTCTTCTATATTTTGGAAAACTGTAAGGACAATGGGTTTTATGTCTTCTCTGTACGTCTGATAAAATTCTGCGGTAAATCCATCTGGCCCAGGGGTTTTGTTCTTGGGTAGGTTTTTGATTACCAATTCAATTTTGTTGCTGCTAATTGGTCTGTTTAGATTTTCTGTTTCTTCCTTGGTCAGTCTGGGAAGGTTGTATTATTCTAGGAAGTTGTCCATTTCTTCTTAGTTTTCCAACCTGTTAGCATATAGGTTCTCATAGTATTCTCTAATAATTCTTTGTATTTCTGTGGGGTCTGTCATGATTTTTCCTTTGTCGTTTCTGATTTTATTGATGTGTGTAGATTCTCTTTTTCTCCTAATAAGTCTGGCTGGGAGCTTATCTATTTTGTTTATTTTCTCAAAGAACCAGCTCTTGTTTTCATTGATTTTTCTCTATTTTATTCTTCTCCTTTTTATTTATTTGTTCTCTGTTCTTTATTATGTCCCTCCTACTGCTGACTTTGGGCCTCATTTGTTCTTCTTTTTCCCATTTCAGTAATTGTGACTTTAGATTATTAATTTGGGATTGTTCTTCCTTCTTTAAATAGGCCTGGATTGCTATATACTTTCCTGTTAGAACTGCCTTCATGGCGTCCCACAGAAGTTGGGGCTTTGTGCTGTTGTTGTCATTTGTTTCCATATGTTGCTTGATCTCTATTTTAATCTGGTCATTGATCCATTGATTATTTAGGACCATATTGTTAAGTCTCCATGGGTTTGTGAGCGTTTTTGTTTTCTTTGTACAATTTATTTCTAGTTTTACACCTTTGTGGTCTGAGAAGTTGGTTGGTAGAATTTCAATCTTTTTAAATTTACTGAGGCTCTTTTTGTGGTCTAATATGTGGTCTATTCTGGAAAATGTTTCATGTGCACTTGAGAAAAATGTGTATCCTGCTGCTTTTGGGTATAGAGATCTGTAGATGTCTATTAGGTCCATCTGTTCTAGTGTGTTGTTCAGTCCCTCTGTGTCCTTACTTATTTTCTGTCTTGTGGATCTGTCCTTTGGAGTGAGTGGTGTGTTGAAGTCTAAAATGAATGCATTGCATTCTATTTCCTCCTTTAATTTTGTTAGTATTTGTTTCACATATGTCAGTGCTCCTGTACTGGGTGCATATATATTTGTAATGGTTATATCCTCTTGTTGGACTGACCCCTTAATCATTATGTAATGTCCTTCTTTATCTCTTGTTACTTTCTTTGTTTGAAGTCTATTTTGTCTGATACTAGTGCTTCAATACATGCTTTTTTCTCACTATTGTTTGCATGAAATATCTTTTAACATCCCTTAACTTTTAGTGTGTGCATGTCTTTGGGTTTGAGGTGAGTCTCGTAAGCAGCATATAGATGGGTCTTGCTTTTTTATCCATTCTATTACTCTGTGTCTTTTGATTGGTACATTCAGTCCATTTACATTTAGGGTGATTATTGAAAGATATGGCCATATTGCCATTGCAGGCTTTGGATACATGGTTACCAAAGGTTCAAGGGAAGCTTCTTTACTATCTAACTGTCTAACTTAACTCTCTTATTAAGCTATTATAAACACAGTCTAATGATGCTTTATTTCTCTCCCTTCTTATTCCTCCTCCTCCATTCTTTATATGTTAGGTGTTCTTTCTGTACTCTTTTGTGTTTCCTTTGACTGCTTTTGTGAGTAGTTGATTTTATTTTTTGCCTTTAGTTAGTATTTGGTTGGTCTTCTTTCTTTGGTGTGATTTTATTTTCTCTGGTAACATCTATTTAGCCTATGGGTGTTTCTATCTAGAGTAGTCCCTGTAAAATATCCTGTAGAGGTGGTTTGTGGGAGGCAAATTCCCTCAACTTTTGCTTGTCCAGGAATTGTTTAATCCCTCCTTCCAATTTAAGTAGTAATTGTGCTGGATACAGTATTCTTGGTTCTAAGCCCTTCTGTTTCATTGCATTAAATATATCATGCCATTCTCTTCTGGCCTGTAAGGTTTCTGTTTAGAAGTCTGATGATAGCCTGATGGGTTTTCCTTTGTAGGTGACTTTTTTTCTCTCTCTGGCTGCCTTTAATACTCTGTCCTTGTCCTTGATCTTTGCCATTTTAATTATTATGTGTCTGGGTGTTGTCTTCCTTGGGTCTCTTGTGTAGGGAGTTTTGTGGGCCTCCATGGTCTGAGAGACTATTTCCTCCCCCAGTTTAGGGAAGTTTTCAGCAATTATTTCTTCAAAGACACTTTCTATCCCTTTTTCTCTGTTCTTCTGGTACCCCTATAATGAGAATATTGTTCCATTTGGATTGGTCACACAGGTCTCTTAATATTCTTTCATTCCTAGAGATCCTTTTATCTCTCTCTGCCTCAGCTTCTCTGTGTTCCTGTTCTCTCATTTCTATTCCATTAATGGCCTCTTGCACCTCATCCAGTCTACTCTTAAGTCCTTCCAGAGATTGTTTTATTTCTGTATTCTCCCTCCTAACTTGATCCTTTAGCTCTTCCATATTTCTCTGCAGGTCCATCAGCATTGTTATGAACTTTATTTTTAATTCTTTTTCAGGAAGATTGGTTAAATCTGTCTCCCCAGGCTCCCTCTCAGGGGTTGTCTGGGTAAGTCTGGACTGGATCAAATTCTTCTGCCTTTTAAAGGTGATAGAGGTAGTCATAGGGAGTTGGCACGTGTGTCAGCTGGGAGAACAACATTCTGCACACGGCGAGCAGTTTCCGGTTTTATTTCCTGAGCCATCGCGGGTGGGGCAGTCGTCAGGGCAGCCCAGAGCCCCATGGGAAGATCCAGGCATGCCTTGTGTGCTCTCCTGAGAGAACAGCAACCTTTCGCCCCCTGTCCCGGCTTCCTCTGTCTGTGCTGGGCTGCCGCGAGCCGACGGGGCCTCTGAGTCTGGCCCAGGCAGCTGTGGAGGAGGCTCTGGGCGGTTGCTGTCAGCGCAGCTGCTCCCCTGCCATGGCGGGGCCACACTGGAGTTGGAATGGACAGGAGGCTGCTTGTCGCCATGAGGGCTTCAGAGCTGTGCTGTTGTCCAGTGGGTTAGGGTACCTGGAGTTCCCCAGGATTCCCAGCTGCATGGCTCAGTGTGCTGTGACACTGCCATCCAGTTGTGAGGCCCCTGTCACTTTCAGATTTTCAAAAAGTTCTCACTTTTCTTTTGTCCCAGTGGCGCCAGCTGCAGGGAGCCGCTCACAGATTTTACTGTTCCATTTTCCTAATATCCAGCACACAACGCAATGTGTGTCTTCGCTCCCATTGTGGATGACTAGGGCTGGGTATTTAGGAGTCCTGGGCTCCCACTCCCTCCCCGCTTCAACTTCTTTCCTCCTGCCGTGGAGCTGGGGGTGGGGGGCGCTCAGGTCCTGCTCGGCCACGGCTTGTGGCTTGTATCTTACCCACCTTCATGAGGTGCTGAGTTCTTGCAGATGTAGATGTAGCCTGGCTGTTGTACTGTATCTTCTGGACTCTCTTTTAGGATTAGTTGTATTTGTTGTATTTTCAAAAATATATATGGTTTTGGAAGGAGATTTCCACTGCCCTAGTCACGCTGCCATCTTTTCTCCTCCTCTGAAAAAGTAAGCTTTTTCAAGGTTCTTTTTGATATTCCCATAAATATTTTAAACCAATGTTTTTTTTCCAGTACATAATTAAAGTGGCAGTCTCCTTAAATGTTTAAGTTACTCTTCCTATAATGAGGATGAATTTGGCTAATCGGTTGATGATTCTCATATGCTAGGATTTAATTAAACATGTACTTTTTACAGGGAAAACTATTTTGCAAGTGTGTTACTGACTATGCTTAAAAATACACATATATAGGAGTTGTTAGAATTAAGAATTGCTGGGATCATATCTTAATACAGTATTCACTAATTTATTTGAGTCATTTTCATATTATTTAGTTCAGCCCAGGAAATGAGATTTAATGTTTGTTTTTTTTAATTCTACTATTATGCTTGGATTTTTAGAGTAGTGGTCATGAAGTATTTCCTAGAAATATGTTTGCCTAGAATTCCCAAAACAAAATAATAAAATCACTTTAAAGAACTTTTTAATATATAAAATACAGATTCTGGGCTTACATGCTTTGGCCATGTGCTAAAAATTAAATAAGCAAATACCAAACAGAAAAGTTGGTCAAAGTTGTGACTTAAAAGGAATACCAGCTAATGTCACACACTCTAAATATTCTTTTCCTTTCTCTTGGCCTGAAAAACACTTTAAGAAAGAAGCTATCATGCCCATCTTTCATTTAAAAATTTTTAGTTTTTGTGTCCTTTCTCACATTGTAAATCTTTTGGACCATTTTTTGGCTATCAGATAATCAACACTGTTTAATCCATATTGACTAATCATTTATAACTTTCCAGGTACTGATCAGGATGAATGTGATTTGGAGAAATTCTATATCCTGTGTAAGGATAAGAAAGGTGCCACACAGATACCAAAGTGGTCATCACCCAGTGGCCCCACTGGGAACAAGGATTTTAACTGACCAAGCCAAAGTTTTTGAACACAACATGTGGTGAGTTATCTTTTTAGTCTGATATTATGTATGTATATTAAGCATCACTAGTGGTACTATTTACATGTATTGCTAAGAAAGGATTTTTGAAGTTGGTCACTTAACTTACGTTGTTGAGGCCCAAACACCAGAGTATCTGATCTTTAGTGTTTGCCAATTCTGAATTTCTTTGCAAATGGAATTGGAAAAGTGAAAACTGGCAAGTGCTTTCCACAGCTTTGGGGTTCTTGCATGCCCTCCCTTCTCACCTCTTATCCTGATTTGCCAATGTATCACTGGAGGTGGGGACCTCTTTTCTAAGTACAGCCCTCCTCCTGCCCCACAGGCCCTTCTCTCTCTCATAGGTACTTATCAATCAGCAAATGTTGTATTCAGTTAGATTATATGCTTTGTAAGAATAACTGAACAGTGCAAGTCATTTCTGTTTTAGCATATAAAGGAATATTTTTTTAATTTAACCTTTATTAAGGTATAATTGGCATATAAAGGAAGATTTCTATAAGTAAGGAAACTGAGATTAAAATTATTTATTCTGCCTTCAGTACCAAGTACAATGCTTGAAACATAAATATTTGTGAAATGATGATTTGAATAGCTAAACCTAGAGTAAGGGCATTCTAGGTGGGTAGAAAGTTATAAATCACAGAAACAAGAAAGTATATGGCTTATTTGGGAGACGGTGAACAGGAAAGTTTGCCTAAAATAAAGGCAAACTTTATCCAGGGCTAGGAGATTGGTGAACAATAAGGTTGGAATTAAATAAGCCAGGCTTGGGGATGGGAGCAAGATGGTGTGCTCTTGAATTCACAGCTGCCATGGAATGCATTGCAGAGTCACTGAAGAGAAATGACATTATATGTAGTATATTAAGTATATATATTTTGTTAATCGTATACTGGACAGATCAGTGGGTACCATTTGAAGCATGAAAGACCTTAATGAGAGAGAGAGATTGTGAAGGAAGAATAAATAGGACTTTTTACTTTTGTAGAATAAAGGAAAAGGAAGCATTTGGCTGAAATTTTTATCATAGATAACTAATAGAAGTAGGAAAATCAAGGGGTAGATTGATTTTTTATTTCAGAAAGATGATGAATTTAGGTTTAGATATTTTGAATAGGCTTTGGGAGAAGGACATTCTGGGGGAAATGTCCAGAACACAGACTCCACTACTGGGAAGAGGGAGATGAAACAGGGCTAAAGATATGAAGTCGGATGTGATATCTGGAGACAAAATTGTTATCTGACTAGCCTCAGAAGCAGGGTCTCTAAGGCTAGGAAGATGGTTTGTGGACTTGTAATTATATTTTATTGCAACAGAATATCAGTTTTAAAAGGAAATAGATTGACTGTATATTAATTAGTGTAAGTCTATGAAGAGGAAATCCTGGGGCAAAATACTCTAACAACCGAAATCAGTCAAAGGGAGAAATAAAGTTTAAAACCCATTTATTGCTTACAAACTGCAATCCAGCGCTGTCTCTCTCCCCTGCTCTGGAAGAAGCAAGCAAGTAAGCCATCCCCTCCCCTTAACCTCTGAGATTCAGACACACACACACCCTCAGTTGCCCATGTAATTACCCACTAACATGGCGATAAACTTCTCTCCACCCCTGAGGATATACAAATGTGCCAAAGCCAGGTGAGATATTCTGGAAATACAATTTTACCTACAGGCCACCACTCCAGAAATCTTGCCTTACAATCTACTCATTCCCCTTCTTCTGTAATGGTCCCTGGGGGAGAAAACTGGAGCATTGTGACCAGACTAATGACATAACAATAGCAACAGCAATAAAATCATGACAATCCTCAAGCTGGAGGATTCAGCTAGGTTCAAAGTTTTATGCAGATTAAGTCCATAGCTCATCCATTCCACAGGCAGCAGCTAAGGGTTCAGAGCAATCATCATGCAGCAGCTGCAGCCAGGGGGCGCATTCAGGCCACAAGGACTGTAGGAGAAAATAACCTTACGGGTGATAAGGTACATGTTTTAATGATACCAGCGTAGACAAATCTTGTCCTTCAGGTAGGATACATGCAAGAGACTGATCTTGTGATAAAACAGTGACAGAAATGGGATCTCGGGCTGGTCTAGTATACCAGACTTTGACCCCGCTCCCTGTGGGAGCTACAGATGGGTCAATATATAGGGCTATGGGAGGTACATGCACTGGCCATAAAGATAAAACAAAACTTCCCCTTTGACCCAGGAATTCCACTCCTAGGAATTTACCCTATGAATATAGGATCCCAGTTTCAAAAAGACATATGCACCCCTATGTTTATCACAGCACTATTTACAATAGCCAGATATGGAAGCAACCTAAGTGCCCATCAGAT